GTATACGTGGAATGCAATTTACATTTACGTCGCGCGACGCTCTACAATTTTTATGGAGTGGCATGCATTTTACCGGTACACGCGATATATAAAGAGATACTCTTGTTTACGGAAAATAAAGTGCACTTACAAAAAATACGATGTGTCCTTATCGCAAAAGTGTTCCTAAAGAGAGAAGGAGGAAAAGAGAGAGGAGTAAACATCCCCTTGTATTGTTTATCCTCGTACATCGTAGATAAGACGGGGATGTATGTCTGATATATTTTTTCATAGCGGCCGCAACTTGTCGATTTTTTTTTGTGAAATGCGATAAGATGCAGATACATGTAAATTGCCCTACAAGAACAACCGTTGTACAATATATATTATACGATATATGGTTCAATTTTAATAAGCGCAAATTTTGTTCTTCGATTAATAAAACCTAATTCATCTCTCACTATTATCAAATTCTTATATATTCTAATCTTTTTTCTGACAAAAATGTTTGAAAAAATGGTACAGCAAGTGAATACAATTTCGTACAATACATTTCAGTATATGATAAATGAATTAATAAGCTCAAGTTTTTTCTTCAATGAATAACGTCTAATTAATCTTGATAATATGATCGTAATTCCATTTTATGATTCAATTTATTCGAGTAATCACATCTCTCGTTATTATAATAATTCTTATATATTCTAATATTTTTCTCTTGCGACAAAAATTGAAAAAATGATGCAAGTGGATACAATTTTACGCTTCGTTTCTAGTTTATTAGAGTTCTTATTCCATGTAATATTTTCTCCGGAATGCCCTAGCAACTTCATCTACTCAAGCATACAGCGTTCCATGTGCGCGTTTCGCTCCCGGATGAGGAAACAGAAGATCGAGAGTACTTCGCCATCATTTCCGATGAGAACTCACGACCCTCTCTCGCTGTCGAATGCAAAAGGACGACTGAAGAATGGCATCTGCGTGCGCCACGCGTGAAATTCCGTCGCGGGAAAATAGCCCCGACGTACGAGACGAATTATGTTTATGAATCGCGATAAAGTGCGCGAATTACGGGCGGCGCACTTTAAAAACCTGTTCAATCGTTCTAAAATTCATAAAATTATGCGTACACATCGAATATTTATGCACATTTAAATTTAACCGCGTACAATGCCGCTATTTATCGTGAATTTATCGCGCGCGTTAAGGTCTACCGTTTTTCTCATTTTTCCCTGCTAAATATTTCGTTTTTCGTTTCGCCTTCTATCTTGTATAATAGAATATTCTGCAACGTAAAGCCGAAAGTTATCGCTGAAATTAAAATGTATCATTAAGAGAGCGTTGTTTTTTCACGCATACATTTGACAAAAGTACGATTCTTTAATTCGCTCGCGCATAATACGCGTATTATGCGGTATCGTTTTTTCTACACTCAAAAAAATTTCGTTGATATAGGTAGATTTCTAGGTGTCGCGACAAAAATTTGCCTCCATATTTTTGTATTTGCTGGAACATTGTTTGTATCATGTAAAATTTATAGCAGTAAATTCTAATAATAGCCCTCTGGCAAGTTTCCAAAAAGGTCCCATTGCCAAATATTAATCACTGCATTGGATAAATATGAGTTTTCATACAGTTAGAATAATATTTGCGAAAGTCCTTTTTTTGTGTCTCACAAACCAAACTTTATAACACACACACACACACACACAAGTATATATGATTAGCTTTAACATGGATGAAGACGCCACAGAAGGACTTTCTTTCTAAATTTAACTAATCCTTCCTAAAGTTCAGATTTAAATTTTATCTCTGTCTCTCTTTCTTTCTCATTTAGATTGATTAATTGCAAAAAATATGCGATCTCACAATATTTGCTTATTATTTATTTATCTTAATTAATTTTTTACAAGACTATTTTTTAAATGTACACTTTTTTGAAGTGTGATAACTTCTTTGTAGATTGTACCACGTCCTACTTTGCTCTCTCTAGCTCTCTCGCTATCCCACGTCGCACCCGTTTCTCCGAGAACAATGCGTATTCCGTCGAATGTGCATAAAATCGATTATACAATCTTCCGGACACGGTGCGCCTTCCGTTTGTACAAAGTTTCGTGCGCAAATCCACGTAACCTGGCCATTTAACAGGTTTATTCAACCATGTTTGTTTCCTCTTGTCTCGATGGTTATCCACCACTGAATCGATATCCGGCAGGACTTCGGTGTCCCATTGATATATCTATCTTGCACGGAGAAACTCTCGAATGTCACGCGACTAGGCGTACTAAATCCATTAAAATGCAAAGGACGCTTGTACACGACGTGATATAAATTCGAAAAATATACATAATAAATTTGAAAAATATGATATAATCATAAAATAATAATTCGAAAAATAATAATGTAATCGTAATCGATTATAGCGATAATATCTTGGATAATACACTTGATTATTATACCTCATAAGAATTAAGTAAATCTTGAAATAAATAACGTGTAAATGGTAGCCCGTGTTTATATAAATTAATATAAAATTTACGATATATCTCACGTAATATCTCACGGATAATAAACGCAAAAATCACGTACGATCAGCAGTTATTTCATAGAAATAGTGAGAATCTCAGTTTATAGAATGGACAATCATCGAATCTAGATGCTTGATCGGAGAACCAAGGCTCTTGTACGCCAAGCATCTTATGCATATTGCACTCGGTTCTTACGTATGCACGCATGCACTCACGTACGGATATACATTTCACGAGTCTCAATCGCCTTGTGCATTATCCTATGCGAACGGCGACATGTGTTTCCGTGTGCGTCAAACTCTGCGGCATCGTATCTCGGAAAGGGGGAATATCGGCGAAATATCGGCGTACACAAATTCTCATAGAGTCGACCTGCATACATATCGATGGTTTGACAGCCTCGACTCCAGCCTGGCTCCAACGACACATACACATATACATACTTATAGGGACATGTGCAATCTCTTGAGCGACATCCTGGACGATGCGGTGGACGATGCACTCGCTTTCTTCCGAATGTCCAATTTGAAGATTTATGAGACGCCCCACTCGTGCTCTTAACATACTACTATCACGTTTCGATATGTTGTATATATAAGTTGGTTTGCGACGAGCATCTTTTTTTCTCTCTCGTTTGTAATAGACTGTCCGATGTATCTTGATTATTCTCGTAATGCTATTGAAATTTGTTAAATCGATTTAAATTTTATCGTAATTTATTTTATATTGTCTCCAAATTATTCATTTATTCATGCATATCGATAAAAAGTAACGGAAAATTATTTAAAAATATTAGCGTGACGCAAAGCCTCCTTTTAAATTGCATGTATTTATGATTTAAACTACATATAATTGAATTTATTGTTATATCTGCGTTGTAAATTCCATAATTAATGCGCGATTTAAACTACAGAGGAAAAAATTCACTGCACGTGCGTGCGAATTTGTCGAAGAATAAACGATTGAAAAACTTTACGTGGAGGATTATTATATTTTTCTCCTTTTACGATATATATACATTTGTTCGCCGTTTGCGAAATTTGGTTTAGAGATGATAACAGTGGAGATTCATATTTCGCTTCAAAAAATTTCTTACCTTCTTCCATTTCGATGACACGTATGCAATATTTCATTGATTTCTCAGTGATAGACGTTTGCCAATTTATTCTCCACGCATTCCCTCGAAACTCAGATGAAAATTTGCAATTATTTTCGACATCAGATAGATTCGCATGGAACCTCTTCAAAAGGGAATTTTTTTTTAAGGGTGCTCTGAAAAGGATAATTAAAAGTTTCACGAGGAGCTTCGGGGAACGAATGAAACGCAACAGGATATCCGAATTTTCCTGCCATTCGTTTTTCATCATTATGCTTTGGCGCGCTATAGCATTCTCTTTTTTATCTGCTGTATAAAAAAAAATTATTTGATTTAATTTGCTTTAATTTGTCAAAATAAAATGTGAAAAATGAGAGATGATTTAAATATAATAAAAATGGAACAAAATGGAGAAAATGCAATATAGATGTATAGCGTCAAATTCCATTCGTTTTATCATATCGTTTTCTAAGCAAAAATAGATAGCGTGATACTTGTCAATAGACACATGCATAGAATATTCAAACAACGATATGCCATATCCTCCGTCAAGCAAGTATAGTTTTAAGAAATTGGTATCATGCGCTTTCTTCAAACACAGCGTACATTCATATTTTGTCTCGTGAGACTCGTTATGCGACAAGATCCACGTTCCGGACAACTAGTAAGAATGGGCACTAATTAAGGTGGACTTTAATTAAATTAAAATTCTTAATTAAATTGCATCAGTTAAACACAATAAATCTTATCGCGACGTAAGCGCTAATATAAATTACTTAATTCCACGTAGGACGTAGCAGTCTCTTTCGCAGCTTGTGCACAATGCAAATTATATCATTGTAATTAGTTTGCATTTTAAACGGACAAAGCAGGAGATTTCTGCCAGCTTGATGACGAAAATTGTATCGCACGAATATTATTTTATAAATTTATCCCACCAGTAATATATATACCATTTTCACTGATTCGACTCACGTTTGAATTGCTTTGGAACGTGCAGAATGCCTTACGCCCTTATCGCATTATTTTCTAATAATAGGTTAGCAAACTTGCAATTTGTGCAGAAAGTAGATCGTTTAATTATGAATATAATGTCCGTAATTAGGAATTTTAATAGACCAAGAGGGTAACGAAATTTAGCATTTATTTTGGATTAATTACAAGATTAATTATTACAATGGATTAGTAGATTTTGTAGAAATTAGAATCGTAAAATTTAATGAAAAAATAATGCGGCAGATGCGACATGCTAAATGTTACATTCCTAAAATTGAAATGAAATTTTCATGTCGTAATTATAGTGATGATATAAAAAAAAGAAAAGCCTTGTAAGAGTAATTAACATACTGCGTATTTACTAATCTTGTACTAATATTAATCCTTTTCTTTCTTTTCAGACATGTCCTACACGCCGCGTCATCCCACTATCCAGGGTAAGTATTTTCTGATATAATATACATGTAGCATTAATGGTACGCCAATCTAAATCGGGGAAAGCCTCTCATCCGTTTGAAGCACAGCATATATATGGCACTTGTACAAACGTGCACTGCGGTAATATTGATTTTCCAAATAGACAGCAAGATCTACGTCAATTCCTCACAGCATTTCTGACAAAATTCATAACGCTTTTTGTTAATTCCGGTGTTAAACACAATTACGATATGTCACATTTAAATTCATGAAATATCCGCGCAAATTCACTCATCGCTATAAATTATTCACTTTTTTCGAAACTAACATATATTATATGTATAATATATATGTATTTGATTTATTATGTTATATAATCTTATAATTTATTTATTTATTAATATATAAATTTATATATGTATATTCCTTTTTGAAATATATATGTAAATTTTAATAATATATATTAAATATATTATACATTTAATTTGGAATTTGATTCGTATCGAAAATCGCCGATGAAAAGCACGTGAGAAAATGAAATCACAATTTTTATTCAATCGGTAAAATGCGTACAATTCGTACAAAATTCACCAATATATTCTCATACTTTTATATGAAAAGGGATCCTAGTGAAATTATAGATTTAGATAGCTCGTCACGCGACGTTTAGAGACGTGTTATTCCGAAGAATAACCCGATGGGAATGCGGGTCGAATGGTGCCTTTCAAAACGACCAGCGGCTCAATTACAACATGAAACGCGCGGCGGCCTCGCATACCGTGAAATCGGGTTATCGCCGCCAAAACGATCGCGATAACACGCGTGTTTCATGGTCCCGCAACGCGTCACGTATAGACGGTTTTCAAAGATATATATTTTTTCGCGCCTCTTAACGATGTTTAATACATCTCGTTATTCACAGTGCGTGTAATCTTGTCACGAGATTCGATTGTGAGAGAACGAGTATAAATTGATGAAATATGAAGAGAACAAGATTTTGGTAATTGAATACACTGAAAATTTTTGGATACTATTTTATTCCGTGTAATAAAAATGTTTAAACTGTAGAACGCGTCGAGAAAATTAAGTTGTAAAAAATATTTTATAAAAAATATTTTTACATTAATTAAAATCTCTCGTGATGCATCTAGATTTTTAATAGATATCGATTCCCTTGAAATTTTCACCATATTCGTTTTGCTTACAGAGCATTATGAATATCATCCGCGAAATGAGACTAATAGATTTCTTCCTCTTCCATCTCCTTTTCCTTTCGTACGCGACGTACGCGATTTGTACGCAAAATATAAATACACGAACAACCCTTGGCGTAAAAGTATAACACACTGAAAAATTCCCCGCGGCGATGTACACAGATATTGACACAGTCTATTTGATATATTTCCGAGTTCATCACCTCCTCGCCTTATTTTTCGCAATCACTGGCGAAATAATCCCGAGCAAACGCAATATCTGTTAAGCGTCGTTCTTTAAACATGTCGCCCATCATACTCGAGGATATCCAGTTCACAATTATTTATATTCCAATATATTTCTATGTTTATCTTTCTTTTTTTTAACTTACTCCGGAATCGCTCTCAATTCTCATTACCGTAGTTACTCTTGTTACCATGCATCTATTCTCGTTATCGTATCTGCTCTCGTTACCGTAGGTTACTCTCGTTAACGTGATCTAATGACATCTACACGATATGTGTGATCCCTTTCTCGTATTTTTTTATCAATTCAGAGTTTCCGAATATTCGTGTATATCGTGCATCATAATCTTTTGTAGAATCTTATCACGTGGAAGGTATGCATAAAGACACTAAAAAAATATTTAATTGATTGTTCAAATCGCACTGAGTTTTATTTGATTCCTCTTTTAGCGGGGTTCTTAATTTTCCGGTACGTCTCTATATAATTAATTCTTAAATTAAATTTCAAATGTAAAGCGAGACTTATCGTTATGAAAGATCAATTTTCATTTTTTAATTACATTCTTCATTCATTAGATATTAATATAGCTTCTCAATGTTTTCGATATTTAAAATATTTATTAATATCTAGAATATCAAGAAATTTATAGGAAAAATACGAAGAGATAACTAAAAGATACGAAAAGACAAATAAAATAAGAACAATATTTTTCTTTATTTGTTTGATGGAAATTTCTATATCAATATCTATATTATATATCTGATATTCGATCCCGACAAATTATAGACAGGTATATGTATTCTATGTATATTAGCTCTTGTATATTATTCATGTTTCTCATACTCGCATAAAGTTGTACATGCACAGATCTCTACTGATGTCTGTAAGATAGCTTCATATAGCTATATAAAACTCGAAATTGGCTACCTGCTACGTGATGATTGATTGTACAATTTATAATGTACATTCATATATGTGTACTCGGTCAATATTACTACTGAAATTGCTTGCAACTTGCAATCCTGTTCGATAATCACGTTCATTATTGCGTTTACAATTGATAAAAATTTAATTGAAATAAAATCCATTAGAAATTTGTGAACAAATATGACTTGAAAAGCGAAAAACAATTTCTTAAAAAAAAATTTACTTTTTTATTTTTCAAATATTTTGATATGTCAAATATCTTGGTGTGTATGCATGTGTGTAGGAGTCAATAGATTTATATTCAATTATATTTTTCACACACACACACACACAATTATTGTTAAACAATTTTCCTTTGAAGAGCGTTTCTACGCGAAATACCCTGTTTATTAGCTCAAGAATTAGCACTACATTAGTACCAAATTTTCTCATCATATTCATTCAATAATGATATGATTACTAGAGCGATTAATTTGCTCAAATGTATTTAATAGCTATTTCGCGGACTCCACATATTCGTTAGCATATTGAAAACGCGCAACAGACTGCACGTCAGGGGAAATACATCACATATTACCTGTAATGCAAAGTTCTGGGCAAACAGACGGCTGCATATAGTTATCTATATTACGCATAAGTTACACAGTTACATGTACATATATATATATTATATATACATATATATATATATATATATATATATATATATATATATGATATGCAGAAATAGCTACACTGAGGAAAAAATTATCTTGAAATAAAAAAATTTTAGTTAACTCAAGAAATTTATTATTCGGAAATTATTTATTCGAAATTATTTATTCGGTGGGTACTAATCACATATTTACTTGTATTCAAAACGTCTGTTTGCTTAAGTTAAGTATTTATTTACACATGTTTAAAAAAATATAATTTTTAATTAAATATTTTTATATTTTAATTTTGCAAAATATTTATTAAAATGCATTTTTTATTTCCAAAAATTTTAAATTTTTTAATTTTAAAAAATAATATATTTAATTTAATAAATTATAGTATATATTTTACGAAAATAGTATTTAAATATAAAAAATATATAAATGAAAATAATGTACTTAATATAACATGCATATTTAATTAAAATTAAATGCTTTTGCTTAAATGAAATAAAGAATTCCTTCCATTTAGAGTAAAAGTTTCAAGAAAACAAATTTATGATTCAAAAAGATTTTTCTTTCAGTGTAGTTTTTCTTTTTTTTAATTAGTTTATTATATTTTATAAAAATTATTTACACACTGTGCGTAAATCTTTAACCATTCAAGAATTATTAACTCGATATTAAAATAAATTCTTCTTTAAAATTTAGTTTTCGATAGATTAATTGAAAATAGTAATACGATACAACACACCATGGAATACGCGTGAATTAAAAGAAGATAAAATAATTTTTGAAATGTTTTTTAATCGGAGAAATATTTTACATATCTGCCGCGCAGTAGAAATGCAGATATATATTCGCTTTTATAATTTATCCTCAAACGTATATATACCGCGCGTATATACACGCTCGCCGCTTTGAGAACCACTGTCCCGTAAACTCGGTCTATGGCGGCGGGTCGATGCGATTCGAAACTGAAACCCTCGCGGTCTATAGGGACAGAGGTGAGAGCCGTGTTAGCTTTCATTCGCTAAAAGGCCACCGAAACGCCATTGTGCTATCTCTCGAGGATATAACTGGGTGAAACGATACGCGACGACTGCGTTTTGGCCATCCGATTTACCGGTAACGGAATGACGCCTCTGTGTAACTCGAGTGGTAACGGTCCGACGTTGTACGCGGCCCGTCGAAGAGTGCCCGGCGAATCGATTACTTAACAGCCGTGCCCGAAAAACGGGTTCTACTTGAGAAAAATCATTTGATTGTACCAAGACGTATCTGATAGAAGGCATTTTGGTTAAATCAAGCCTAATTATTACGATAAGACTCTATTTTTTATAACTAGAACGTTTAATAGACTTTAGTACAAAGAATTGATTAATATTTATTTTCAATTGGATCTATAAAATTTCTCGTTATATTAATTAAACATAGACACAGTGATGCCATTTTTTTGTAAATTTAATATTATTACCAAGAAAATTTGGTAAATTTAACAGGAAAACATTAATCATACTCATCTAGTAATTCTTAAAGGAATTCTGACTCGTCCATTTTTCATCAGACATACTGGTTGAATCTACTCTAAAGATTTCTAATTAACGCAATCAGATTTTTTTTTCAGTGCACGTATAAGTTCTCGAAAGAGAGGAGGCGTGTTGGTTATGGATGGAGTAATTGTTTATCGTATCTCATTAACTCATCATCAATTTTATCGTAGCCATACTTTTGAGGCTGTATATTTCGTACTTTTCGCAGAAGGTGATTTATCGCCATTTAGCCGCACAATTATACGATGTTACAGACATGCAAATTAGTAGGCGATACGAGGTATCGTTGGAATATCCCTTTGTCGGATTATCGATTATTCAATTATATCTCTGACAACCCTTGTACATAGTATACGATTACAATCTACGTAAGACTATAATCTAAGAATTGAGGGTTGCATAGACAAGTATGCAAAAGGGGATCGCGAGAATGCAAGAATGAAAGAGCATACGAAACTTGGTCAA